CTGGGATTATAGGTGTGCACCACCACACCTGGCTTCATATAGAGATTTTGCAAGACAGTTTCCCCAATAATAGTCATATTTTCTGGTGGAGGGATGGGTTACCAGGACATAAACTCAGGACCCCACACTTGCCAAGCAGGCACTGTACCACTGAGCTAAATCCCAGGCCCAGTACTGATGGTAATCATAATGCCAATTAGGAAATAGTACACGCTAGAAAATTTATATTAGGGGCCGGGGAGATGGCTCAGTAGAATAAATGCTTCCTTGGCAAACACAAGGGCCCGAGTTCGATCCCCAGTTCTGCGAAGAAAAAAAAAAAAAAAGAAAGAAAGAAAAAGAAGAAAATTTATATCATTCTGTTTCTTTCTCAAAACAGCCAATAAGGTAGACCCTATTAGACCCATTTTCCAGACAAAAACCAGGCTCAGCATTCAGATGGCTTGTCAGTATCACACAGCTAGTGAGCAGCAGAGCCAGGACTTGCCTTTGTCTCTCATTCTCAATGTCTTCTTCTGCTCTTCACCTCACCTTTCATTCAATTGCTTCTCCATAGGCAGAAGCTTCCAGCAGGGAGGCCTGGGACCTGGGTCATCTCCATGCTTCCAGCCCCTAGCCCAAGCCTAGATTTTGGTTAAATGAAACAATCCATACAATCTCTGTCTGTCTCTGTCTCTGTCTCTGTCTCTGTCTCTGTCTCTGTCTCTGTCTGTCTCTCTCCCCAAGGGAATACAAGGAAATGAGATCCACACTGAAATATATCTTGTAATATACTGGTATTTGGGTTTAAATCCTGATTCTATCATGCACTAGCTATGCATCTCACTTTCCTCATTTGCAAAATGGGAACAGTAATAGGGTTGATTCTTTTTAGTGAGAAATATGTGTGAAGTGTTTATCCCAGCCCTGGCATCCAGTCACTCTGCAATAAATAGTGGTGACCACAAACACATATCTATACATACCATCTGCCACTCCTCTAGCCTAGCTCAGTGGCGATGCCCTCACAGCTGACAGTGCAGGGTCCCAGAGCTTCCCTGCATGTCCTGGGCTACACCTAAGCCCGCCCACATGAGCGGAGGGACAGGAGTTCTGATCCTCACCAGTCTATCAGGAAAGTCATCCTGGAGAAGGCCTTTAGCCAAGAAGCGTAAGGGCACCAGATTGAAGCAAGAGGGTGCCACCCTGAGCCTCAGCTCCCTCCAGTGCAGTGCCCTTCCTCTACCTCTTTCCCTCAGTAGAAACTTTCCTTCTCTTCCTGCCAGCGTGAAAATTGCCCCCAGGAATGTGCTGCTTCCCACTGCTCCCCTAGCAGTGGCCAGCGGCTGTCCTGGGGTCAGGCCTGGCCCTACATCAAAGGTTCAGTATCATAACAGCACGTCTCCTTGCCTGCCGCCACCCTTCCCTCCAAACCTCCTCTCCCGCCAGCCCGCTGGCTTCCAGGGAACAGCACATGGTAGCACTTAAGCTCCGAGAGGACGGGAGGATGCTTTTCCTACACCCCACCTCCCACCAGCCACAATGAACTACTTGTTAGGAGACTATTTTAATTTTACTTAATGTGATTTCAGCTCTTTGGGCCTCTTTGCCACCCGCTTATTGGGCCTGGATGCCCAAATGTAGGGGAGGCCAACCTCCCAGGAGGGGACTGTTGGAAACCTTGCTGGTGTTGGGGGTCTGGAGCAGAAAGGGGACTGTTACATCAGGGATGTGGGCAGGTGCTCAAGACTCCACTCAGGAAGTTAAGAGTTGGAGAGAAGAGCGCTCGGAGCCCTAGCTGGAACAACTCAGGAGATCAGTATGAGAGTCTACAGAGTGTACGGGTCAGACATCCTCTTCCAGTGCCCCGAGGCAGGCCCTCAGCCATGCAGGATTTGCTTTCAGGTCTCATGCAGCTGACTGAAGGAGGTGGACACTTCCTCGCTCTGGTTAGCTTCTGAGGTTTGCTCCATCAGGTGTGTCTTCTAGTAAATTCTAAAAACCGTAGGGTGATGGTGTGGAGACCCCTAGTGGCCATAGGCCACAGAGCAGGCTCTTCCCAGAGCTCTGCCCAGCTGGCTCAGGCTTGAAGGCCACCAGTATGGACTCCTCTAGCCCCACAGCTCTGCTTTTTGTAAAACTGTCCTCATTAGTTGGTTTCTCACATATTAGCCCCATAATCCTGGCCAATCTTTTTGGGGAAAGGGTGTTTCAGTTACTTTTCTGAGACAAAATGCCTGAGCCAAAATTAAAGGAGAGGGGCTGGGGAGATGGCTCAGTGGAATAAGCGCTTCCCTGGCAAGTGGAAGGACCTGAGTTCAATCCCCGGTTCCACACACACACACACACACACACACACACACACACACACACAGAGAGAGAAAATTAAAGGAGAAACAGCTTGTAGAGGTTTCAGGCCATAATCAGCCGGCTCCAAGGCAGGACAGCATGGCAGAAGGGCATACCAGAGTCAAGCAGAAGGCAGCAAAGCAGTGAAGCAGCAGCAGCAGCTGACAGCAGCAGCCCTCCTCTGTCCCTCAGATTCCTCACACCTAGGGTGGGACACCCTTAATCCTAGCACTACACACCCAAGACCCAGTGACCTCTAAAGAGCCACCTATGTTTGCATGAGGTTTTCAGGGGACACCTAGATACACCCTGAACTGGGTTGCAAGTGCACCAGGAAACATGGGGAATGGGTCTATCAGCCTCAGTCTTAGGTGAAATCAAGGGATTATCTACAAATCATCAGCCACAGAGGTGAGCACGGGAGCAGGAAGTGAGGTTGCTGGGGTTGTACACTTGGTGCATTTGGATAGATGACAAACTCACGGGGCCAGGGAGATAGCTCAGTGGAATAAGTGCTTGCCTGCCAAGTGCAAGGTCCTGAGTTCAATCCCTGGTACTCCCTGCCCCCCCCCAAAAAAAAAGATGATAAACTGGTGTTCCCAACAGCCCCCACCATCCCCAACCCTTTTCCTTCCCTCTGCCCTCAGGTGTATGTCATACAACTGTGGGGCTGAGTGGGAAAAGCCATAATGGGGCCTTGTTTCCACAGCTCACCAACCATGTAACATTGCCAAGTTTAACTTGGAAAAGGAAATTCCCAAAACCTCACACCATACAAATGGCTGCTAGAAAGTAGGCTGTAGCACAGGGAGGAAAGGAACAGTGTACCCGCCCCAAGCCCACAAGAAGGGAATGGGCGGTACAGCAGACTGCTTGGGCAGTGTCCAGACACTGCACAAACCTTTCCCCATCTGGGCCCCAACGTTCATTTCCTCAATTTGTTACATTCCATTCCATTCGAGTATGGATCCAGCCTCATGGTGACTGCTAAGCATTCAGCTGATCACAACAGTTGGCTTCCCAGGGGCCACAAATTGTATCTGAAAGGAGAGGTAAAGAGGCTCAGAAAAGATGGGATTCCATGGGATGAGCTCCCTGTATTTAGACATAAAGTGACCATCCAGGGATACAGCTTAGTCATGCAGTGCCTGCCTGGCAAGTGCAAGATCCTAAGTTTCATTCTTGCCCCAGTCCCCCAGAAAAAAGGAGGTGGTCTAACCCAGCTAGAACCAAGTCCAGTGCAAACTGCCCCCTTACTGAGTCTCAGAACACTGGTCTTATACACCTCAAGTACAATATACCAATAGTTGGCTCCCCTCAACCTGCCTAGACTAAAGGTCCTAGGCTGTCCCTAAGAACAGTGCTACGAAATGTGGCCTGACACAATCTCTGCTGCCTCCCTTTGAAAGCTGTCCCAAGCTGGGCACAGCGCAGGAGGCTGACAAAGGAGGACTACAAGTTAGTTAGGCCAGGCTACAAATCAAGACATTATCCCCAAAACTAGACAAAACGCTACCCCAAGTTCTATAAGGTATGGAGAGCAAGTTGCAGGTCTGTTTCCATTCTCTCCTGACGTACTAACCAGGCTTCAAAAGAACATCATTGGGGCAGGGGAAATGGCTGTGGAATAAGCGCTTCCCTGGCAAGCACAAGGGCCTGAGTTCAATCCCCAGTTCCGCCTCCCCCCCAAAAAAGAAAGAACATCATCATGAGCTTGGGCCAGTTCTGAACCATTGCCATCTCTATTTATTTTTTGGCAGAACCAGGGTTTGAACTCAGGCCCTTGCGCTTGCCAGGGAAGCGCTTATTCCACTGAGCCATCTCCCTGGCCCCAGTATCTCCACTTAGCAGCTGTATGACCCTGGGCAACTCTGTGGCCTCCCCTCTGGAAACGGAATTATTGCTAACTAGGTAACACAAAAGTGTTCAGCAGTGTCTACCTGCTGATAAGTGCTAAGTAGTACTCTAGCGCCACTGTTTACAGTTTCTAGTCAAACCTTTCATGGCTGAGCAGAAGGAAAAGAAGACATTACTGGGATTTCACTCAAGAATGTGTCTTTATTGAGGAATTTGTAAGAAAGAAGGATGAACCCTCTGTAAAAAGAGGAGATATTGCCTCCAAACGCCGAGGAGGAACGAGACCTGGGTGGCTTCCCAGAAACTGGTGTTTCCGGCATGACTGGCTCCCATGTCCTGCCAAACTCTACAGAATATCACACTACAGCTAGAAATTCCTACCCACCCCCTCCCAACCCTCCAACCCAAGCCCCAGATTTCTTACAGCCATTTGCCAAGAGCTTTAGGAAGGCTCAAGAGTAAATATGCCAGGCTTGTCACTTTTTTTAGTATAGGAGATTGAAACCAAGGCCTTCACACTGAATTACATCCACAGCCTTTTTTTTAATGTATCGAGACAGGGTATCACTAAGTTGCTAAGCTGCCCAGACTGGGCTCAAATTGTGATCCTCCTGCCTCAGCCTCCCAGTGTTCAGATTATAGGCACTATTTGCCGGGCCACCACACCCAGCTCAGGCTTGTCTCTTACTGGGGTCAAAGTAGGTTTGCTTTGGAAAATTCACATAGGAATGTAAAATGCTTTGAGGTCTCTCTAGTCCAACCAACAACAATTACATCCTGCTGGGGAGATAGCGCAGCACCGTAAGTGCCTGCCTGGCAAATGCAAGGTCCTAAGTTTGATTCCCGGTTTAAAAAAAAAAAAATTACATCCAGACCATTTTAAGGGAGAGGGAACAAAGAATTCCCCTTCTGAATGTGCATACTTGCAGGGAAACTGGACTATATCAGTCTGCTCTTTATTAGCATGGAAAATGGAAAAAAGGTAATAATATATAACACCCGTGTTAGAGTCACTGAGTTCTAGAGGCAGAGGGGACTGTGCCCTTCTGACCCAATAAGTGTCTTGCTGGCTCCTCTCCACTGCGGGACAGTCATTCTTCTCCAGCCGGGAGATTGTCTTCGATCCGCCTGATGAACCTCATCCGGATTTCTGTTACACTGTCTCCTTTCAGGGTGTCCTGGACAAACTTGGCCTCCACTGCCATCTGGACCTGGGGGACAGTGGAAAATGAAGGCCTGGCCACAGACTCCGGAGTCCCTGAGGACAGGGCTGTAACTGACACACATACTGCAGTCAGAAGGGTTGCTTCACACAAGGATGGACTGCTAGCTCCAATGATACACTGCAGCAGAAGACAGCAGCTCCAACCCACAAAGAAACTCAAGAACGAGGCTGCCACCAAGGAAGCCAGTCTTGGAATGGACGTTCCTGAGGCTGGGGGCGCTGACAGCATCATTCCCAGCCTATCAGGGAAGACTAGCTCCATGCAGATACCTCGCTTGGACCTTATTTCAGCGGCATGGTCCCCCCAAGGAACAAAGGGCAGGGACGAGCTAGAGCCCTTCTCTCCCCCCATTCAAACATCTATTCATACAGACCTTACTGTATTCCAGGTGTTGCAGAAGAGCTACACTCACCATCTCCAAGGCTCCCCGCAACACCCCACACAAGAGATTGGAATAAATGAGGGATGAGTGGTTATCAGGAAGTTCCACGAAGTCCACCAAGGGGTTATTTTCCAAAATGAGGGAGAATTCGTCACCAGCTGGGCTCCAATTAGTGATGCTTGGAGTGATGCCCAAGTACATCTTGAATGCCACCTGTCAGGGGACACACAATAGCACTACAGGGAAAGACAGCAGGCACTGTACAAGGGGGTGGGGGCACACAAGGAGGAGACAGCATCTGTGCACAACCCCACACTGGCCCTCAGGAGCTTATCAGTGAAGCACCACTCCCTCTGCCTGTGCCTCTCCGTGGAGGGGAGCACCAGGCCTCCCACAGCTTTGGCTGCCTGGAGCCATCATCTGGGCAGAGGCCCCAGCCTCCTGGCCTATCGCTGCTGCCTGAACCCACCTTCAAGAAAGTGAACAGGTCACTGGGACAGAATCACTCTCACCCTCCCTCAGCCACTTCTTCATTCAAACCCTCACAAGGCTTGCTCCACTGTCACCTCTCGGGACGTGGGCAGAGCCAGCATGCTTAGAACTCAAACAGCCATCCTTGAGGAAACTACTATAGGTATTATTTATTAATACTCTAATAACATAACACTGATATTAGCAATGAACACTTATGATATGTGCAATACTATGCTAAGTGCATTCGTTTTTACTTGAATGCTTATGTCCATAATTTACTCCTCACAAAACCCACATAAGGTAGCTCTTAGTTTCTCCAAAAATAAGGCAACTAAGGGGCCGGGGAGATGGCTCAGTGGAATAAGCACTTCCCTGGTAAGCGCAAGGGCCTGAGTTCAATCCCCGGTTCAAAAAAAAAACAACCCTGAATTTGGGGGCCTGGCCCTAGCTCAGTTCTTTAAGTGGCTGCTTCCACCAAGCTGTCAGCCTCAGGTGGCTCTAGTTCGATCCCCACAACTCTCCAGCCAGCCACACAAACCCTGAGGGCATGCGGAGGAAAACAAAACAAACAAAAAAAATCCTTATTCCAAAAATAAGGCAACTAATAGGCATGAAGTTAAAAATTGCCAGGCATGATGGTACCTAATAATCCCAGCATTCTGGGAGGCTGAGGCAGGAGGATCTCAAGTCCAAGCCCAGCCTGGGCAGTCAAGGAGACGCTATCTCCAAATGAAAAGTAAAAGAGACTAGGAGTATAGCTCAGCACTAAGGTCCTGGGTTTAATCCACGCTACTGCACACACAAAAAAAGAAAAAGTACAAGTGAGTTATCCTAAGAATCCAGTATGGTAAATACTAAAACCAAAATCTGAAGTCAGGCATGTTTATAATCTGTCTTTTATTGTTGTTTTGCAGAGCTAAGGATCAAACTCAGGGTCTTGCATGTGCTAGGCAAGTGTGCTACAGAGCTTCACTTCCATCTATATATCTTTTATTTTGTGGTATTAGAGATCAAAGCCAGAGGCACTCCACCACTGAGTTACATCCACATCCCCAGCCCCTAGCCCCCAGGCCCCAGCCCTTTAAAATTTTTTTAAATTTAAAACAGGGTTTCCTTAAATTGCTCAGGCAGGACTCAAACCTGCAATCCCCTGCTTCTGTCTCAGTGCTGGGATTATAGGCCTGTAGTAAGTGTACTCAGCTCCATCTGTATTCTTCTTTGGATGTTTTTTTTGGCTAGTTCAGGCTGCCTTAAGGGCGTGTCTGGGGCAGCTTGTGGAGCTGGAGATCGAACTGCGGTCCCTTGCACCTGACTGCCATCTGTATTCTTTTTTGTTTTGCATTGATTTCTGAACAAGCTATGTAGCCCACACTGTCTTCAAACTCACAGAAATCCTTGTTTCAGCCTCCTGAATGCTAGGATTACAGGTGTGCACCATCATATCCAACCTTCATCTGTGTTGTAATTCACGTTTATTTTTTTTTTAAGCTTTCAGCTACACAGATTTACTGAAAGTAAAACTCTATACACAAAGTAACCTGGACCTGCTGCCTCAAAACACGATCCTTGGGGCTGGTGAGATGGCTCAGTGGTCTAAAGCACCTACTTAAAACAAGCTTAGCAAAGCACAGGGACCGCGGTTCAATCCCCCAGCACCACATACCAGCCAGCCCTGCCCCCTGGTGGGTTGAGCTGGCCACACACACACACACACACACACACACACAAATAAATAAAAATAAAAAAAAAAAACACGATCCTTTTCTAATATCCTGATAGACTGGTTACAAAGCAACTTAATCTAAAATAAATAGAAAAATGCCCAGTTACATCAGATGTAGGGCCTAACCAGTGAACTCTAATAGTTCTACAAGACAGTTAACAGGCAGGACTGAGTCTCAGTGAAGGGGTGCTGAAGAACAGACAGGAGGTGCTAGAAGGCCGTCTTGTGCACTGCCACAGTGATGCTGTCGTGCCTCTGGAGCATGATGCTCCCATTATCTGATTCTAGACACACCACAGGAGTATCAGTGGGGTCAGAGGTCAGTTTAGCTGCCTGCTGAGCCAGGACGGATATCACCCCAGCGTGCTCATCCGACAGCGTCCCTCGGCAACCCAGATTAAGTCCTTGTGAGTCTGTACATAGGACTCCAACAATGGAGGGATTCTTCATTGTGTCCTCCAAATGCTGCTCTAAAGTTGCCTCCATCCTGCCTGCGTCCACCCTACCCAGGATCCGGCAGCCCATCCTCACACGTTATTTTGCTACACTTTCACAGTGGAGGAGATTATATTTTAATTTCAGTGGTTTAATCCATAGGGATGATCCCACTCTTTTCTTGTTTATAATCTCCTACTCCCAAACCACCAGGAAAGCTACTTGGACCCAAACACCTGTCTAATCAGTCTTTTGGGAGATCAGGAACCTAAGGGACAGCGAAATAGTAAGCAATGTTTGCCAGTGGCAATCCTTCAGCATGGCCAGGTGGCCCAGGATAATGACCTTGGCAATGACATCTGCAGTTTCCCGAAAGTCATGGCATCTGCCAACATTTGACCGTGCCAAGAAATCTTCAATCAGTCGGACTCCTATGTTATAGCCCCTGAGAAGGAAAAGAGCAGAAGACTGTAAGCTCTACATGTCTAAACATAAGGCTATGATTAGTAAAGCAAAAAAGGGAATAACCTCAAAACATCCCAATAAAAGAGCTCAGTGGAAACTGTACCTCCAGGACACTGTTCAGGGTTGTAAAATACAACCAAGACTCAGTGTGCCAGTGAACCCCAATCCTCTCTCTCTCTTTTTAATTTTTTTTTATTTTTTATTTTAGGAAAGGGTCTACAGGGTATTTAGGGTCTCACTACTAGATTGGACTTGTAGTGATCCTTCTATTTATAGCCGCCCAAGAGGTGGGATTACAGGGGCACGCCACCATGCCCAGTCTCAACTGCCATCTCAGCACACCCCGGGGGCAGAGCCAGCACAGTAGGCCAAGAGATCGAACCCCTGACCCCTGGGCCTGCTTGTAGGTGCTTTAATCTGCTGAGCTATTTGGCCAGCCCTTCCCCAGTCCTCTCTTCACTTCTGCAAAGGTACTCACATTTTGTCTAGCTGTTTATTCACATCTTCATCATTTTCATAGTCTTTGCATAGCTGGGTGACAAGAGCCCCATAGGTCAGGGTGAACAGTTCAGAGCTCTAAAAGAGATTCAAGCAACACAAAAGACAAACTGTGGCAACAATCTGAACTGGCCTTGATGCAACTTTTTTTTTTTTTTTTTTTTTTGTCCTTTTGTGACAGGTCTCACTCACTATGCAGTTCAGATGAAGTTTTTTTTTTTTTTTTGTGGAACTGGGGATTGAACTCAGGTCCTTGCGCTTGCCAGGGAAGCGCTTATTCCACTGAGCCATCTCCCCAGCCCCCTTGTTTTTTTTTTTTTTTTAAACAGGACCTCCCTATGTTGTAGAGGCTGTCCTCAAGATCACAATCCTCCTGACTCAGCCTCCCTAACACTGGGATTACAGACATGTTGCCAGCATGTCCAGCAACACAACTTTCAAGATTCAAAGAAAGGTCACCAGTGTCTGGAGGGGCAAGCACATCATTTCCTGAACAGTGGCCAGGGTATGTGGCTCCCGAAGGGCAAATGGCCAAGGCTACAGCCAGACTCTTAAAAGCCAGGCTGAAGGAAGCACCTCATGCCCTGGGCAGCCACTCTTCCAACATACCAAGGTGGACCTCTGACAATCGCAGTTCAGTCACCACAACCTGGTATGGGAGCAGAAGGTGCTCACTCCGATTCTAGACCCAAAGCGTTCAGTCACCAACTAGCTTCTGTATACTGGCAGGTGTGACACCTCAACATGCCTCAGCCTAGAGTTAAGCTGTATTCCCGTGGCTCCATCCAGAAGCGGCAGAAA